TTTGCATTGGTAGAGGTTGACAATTTACGCTCCAACCTCAAATCACTTCAATTATCTCTAGAGCTATATCCAAGTCAGTACTTTTTCCTCATCTTTTCTAGTTAACAAATAGAAATTTTAGAACAGAAAAAAGAAAATAAAACGAAGCAAAAAAAACTACAGCATTTTTTTCCGATGTTGTTGTTGACTTCGCCAATCAACAACACTTCCTCCATCTTGTCATCAATATCCTTTCTCCTTCCTTTCTCCGATTTTCAACTTAATCGTAAATTTGTTTATTCATTCATACATTCATCCATCCATCCATCCTTCCACCCATACACTCACCCTTTCGCAGCCAATCATGCAAAAACCCATCCAGTCATCTATCACTTCACTTCCTCACTAATTCATCGGTTAAAATTATCCGAGTATCTAAATATTCCTTCCAGTTTTCAATGAAAAAAAAAACATTTTCTTTTACAACTTATCCTTTAAAATTCAGTTTTAGTGTTGTACGTAGCTATTTACATAAAACGGTTATAGAGTGAAAAAAAAATTTGCCGACAGCACTTAAAGAATCTTTAGTATTGTACCTTCACAGAAGTAGCAATTGCAACAGTGACAACAAGTATGTTGAACGCTAAATCCAAACCGCTATAAAGTTGTAAGTCCACTGATCACTAGGCGGAAAACGTATTTTAACATCAATACTTGTCTTATGTTAATGCGTTCTTAACAACTACCAGTCCACTTTTGGTCAAGAAGTCAAAAAAGTAAAAAAAAGTAATTTCTCCACAATTCTTACACATCAGATAGACCAACAGCTCATCTTCGTCCCATCAGCAACAGCAATAGCAGCACCAGTAGTAGCAATAATAGCTAATAAGTGACCTTCAGAATTGGCCAAGCGAACAAGAGATAGTAAATCCTCCCTTCCTCCTCTTCTTCTTCTTCTTCAGCCTTTCTCGTCGTCGTCGTCGTCGTCGTTTGCGTAATACTTCTGTTTCTTACTTCTCTTTTCGTCTAGATGTGTATAAACCTTAAATACTACGAATGTTCAACTGTAGCATTGATTAAGCAATGAAATACCACAGAAAAAGTTAGCAAATTACCCAATAATTTGACGAGAAACAGCAGTGTATCATTCGGGAAGAAACTGCACTAAAGACCGGTAAATGAAATATTAAAAAAACCGAAGTTCGAGCTTTAAATAAAATGTAAAAAATGAAGAGTAAAAAAATGAATGAAATAAAATGAGCAAACGATCATGAAAAGTGTTCCTAAATGACTTAAGTCAAAAAAATCAGTGCATACTTTTGAACGAAGATGAAATAATCAAAAAATAAAATAAAAAAATATAAGAATAAAAGTAAAAAAGATTGACCAAAAAAAATGCGATTAAAAGATTTTTGAAAGACATATTTCACTTTTTTTCAAACTCATTAAAAGACGAAGAAATTTGCCTTATCCCTTTTTTTCATCAAATTTCTTATTAAAAAAATTTCCTTTTTATTCTTCAATGAACGCATTTTACAGAGTATATATCTATGCAGATACAGAAAAAACACATATACTAAACATAAATATTAGTGTATTTGAGATATACAGTAAAATTTCATTGAGTGCATAAAAATTTCTACTTAAAAATTGCATGATTACGCATATATATTTTTCCTTTGCAAAAAAAAAAAAATTTCTTTTAATGAAGTGAAGAATCATTGAACAGACTGATTTGATTAAAAGGAGCAGGAATAGAAAGAGAGAAGAGCGAAAGACGATGAAAAGGAATGAAGGACTTGCTGCGGGAGAGGAACGGGTAGCCTACCTAAACACAGATTGGATATAAGTGCACGATATTTACCTAATCTGCTGCTGTTGTTGCTGCTGCCTCGTTAATGTTCTTCGTTCCTCGTCATAAATTTGAGAAGACAAAAAAAAATTGTTTTGTTTTCTTCATTTTCTTCTCCTTTTTGCACACCTTAAAACCAAATTTTCCTCTTTTTGACGTTTTTACCACTAATGGTTTATTTTTTTTTCTCCTTCTCCCGTTTACTTTGGTATCGGATTATTTTGTAACCACTTGTTACAGCACAAAATCCCTTTCTTTTTTGGTACGTACAAAAGATGTACTTAGTAGCGCGATACCCTCTTTTTTTTTTTCGCTTTTTACTGTTCGAATTACTGTACAACAAATGAATGCAACAACGCAGCAAGATAAACAACAATTTATACGGTTTCCGTAGAAGCCTACCACAGAAACTTACTATGAATTTGGACAATATTCTACAGATGAATAACTACAAATAAACGATGACCAATACAGCAAATGAAAAGAAAAAAAAAAA